AACAGAAATAACATTTTCTGTTAGCATCAGTGAATTGTAGTAATAAATGATTTTGTTTAAACCACTTAATGAACATCTCATATTGATTAATAACATATACACATATATGTACAGTGACTATGAATGATGTTATCTAAGTCAGTCAGTCAGCTACAAAGTAGAACTTCATACTTCGTATGTATATCAGTTCAAGTTGCTATATCACATTAGCGCACAGAGGAGATTGAACTGTCAATGCAAATCCTAGTCGTAGAGGTAGCAGAAGTATTGGAGGTTATAAGGAAGATAAGTATTCTAAGATAATATTCAAGAGGTATAATTATGCGGTGAAATAAATTTTTAGAAAAAACGAGAAAGATAAAGGTGATGATTAATTCAGAAGGTTAGAATTTCAGAGAACACAAAGAATGGATCCATCTGCACCATTGCAAACGATTTTGAGCCATATCATTGAAAGTCTTTGACCATCGATTTCTATCGTCTCGTGGACTCCTCAATGACTTCACGGATCTGTACCATGTTTTGGTTTGACTGCCACTAGCTTTCTTGCAACTTATTCCTACATCACAAAACATAGCTCGACGAGGCAGTCGGTGGTTGGGCATTCGTAACACACGTCCTAACGTCCTTAACTGATGAAGTTTCAATATTTCATCTAAGATCTGCCATCCTAACCCAGTACCTGTTTCTTAACACCAGCATTGCTTACCCAATAGTCCTAGGGTATACGAACAATGCTTTGAGGACACCTATGCCTACAAATAGCTGCTATCTAAAATATATTAATAGACCAGACTGATTCTTACTTTGATTGAATGATGTGTGAAGTTACACGGAAGTTTAATTATTAATCGTCTTGTAACTTTTCAATCAAATCATTTTAATGCAGACTAAAATCCTAACCGATTATCTTGATTTTCACCACTAGCCATCACACACACACACAAAACATGAAAAAAGAGCATTTCTACAGAATCCTAGCTCAGTGGTGAGCGATATCAAAGGTCCTGAGTTCGATTCCCGCTTAGGGGAGATGGGTTCGCACTGTTGAGGAATCCTACACGATTTCAGATTTCTAATGATTGCCTAACCTAGATCAGTTTGTAATTTCAAATAATATTTCATTTCAGTTCGCACCAATCACCCAGGGGATATCGTCTTTCGCTAGAACGTTGTCTTTGTTCAACTTTCACTATTATTATTATTACTATCATGATTTTTTTGAGAAAAAGTTTTTTTCATATCAAAACACAAATTAAGTTCTGTAAACCATTGTATTCTTCATTAATCATCATCGTCATCATCATCATCATCAAAAAAAATTATATTGAACAATAACAAAAAGTTCGAAAAAACCGCGAAAAAACCTGAGTTCCGATTAAAACAAAACGCTCAATATGGATTTAAAAGAGACAACTACGAATTATAATATATTTTTAAATAGAAAATTTCATAGAACAATGAAATAAAATCACTAGGATTAAAAATAATCAAATAAGTAGCGCCAACTGAAAAAGCTTTTGTCCAGTGAAAAAATCACACACACACACACACACACAACAGAAGATTATTAATGATGAGCAGTTGAACACCAACAACAACAACACCATCAACAACCAAGGTCACATGATCAATCATATCACATGCTCCTTGTCCAATCGCGGATTGATCACATTTTACAAGCATCATCACATTCTTGTGAGAGAACTGTGGCAAATTCTGGGACATCTTTAGGATTAATTTTTAATACATCAATAATTTTCTTATAATCTGGATGATTCACAACTTCTTTCTGTTCAAAATGATAGAGAACTTTACCACCTAGGTTGTTTCGTTGTAAAAACAAGGGGAAAGAAAATTACAATGTACGTATATATATATATATACTACTATTATACAGACTAAATTGATCAGCATTATTTTACATAAATATATAATACTATTTTTCATTATAGGATTGTGGAAGATTGTTAAGTTGCATTAACAATCATTTGGTGTCGCTGCCTGCTCGAAGGAATGGGCTCCGTGGCCGAAGGAGTTGGGGGACGGGGATTTGCGGAGCTTCCTGGAGGAGTTTGAGGCCACGGTGGAGCTGGTGGGTGTGAAGGTACCCGGGGCGGAGTTGGGGAGGTGAGGTGAAGGCGGTATACGACAGCCTGGACGGTGCCGCCGGGAAGACGGCGTGGGAGACGGTCACCGGGCGGCTGATGACGGAGTTCGACAGCCCGGTGGACGGGGAGGAGGCGCCGCAGAGGTTCCGGTTGGCGAGGCTGTCGGCTGATGGTGACCCGTTGGTGCTGGCTGTGGAGCTCACGATGTTGCTGCGCCGTGCGCTGCCGAGTATGGATGGGGAGTCGGGGGCACAGTTGTTGGCAATCGAACCTTTGGTCTTGCGGGCGAATGCCAGCATCGAACGGTGTTAATGTCTAACTTTGATCAATAACCCACATAGTTTGCATCCTTATCCATTGTCATTGATGAGCAAAACTTCACATTCGACAGAGTTGAACTCCACTGGTCACGTCTTCTCACCCTAGAACTCCGAGAATTTCCTCACGAAACTAGTCACTAGTAAATAAAATGAATTATGAATCGATCAATGTTAGACTACCATTACAAACATGTTGATGAGTCCAATACTAAGATGGAAAGGCCATCCATGTTTGTAATGGTAGTCTAACATTGATCGAATTCGTGATTTTAAAATATATTGTTGTTGTTAGTTTTGTAAACTTGATTTGGTTAACAGAGTTAAGCTTCCAGATTTCTGCTGGTGGTCTAACAATGGTTGGTTCACGATCTGGTATATTACTTACTAGACAGTCATTTATATAATATCGATGTTTATAAACTGTGCTATTTAGAGACCAAAACTTTATGTCTGTTATTACTTAACAATCTTACTATATAAATTCACCCCCTCAATAGACAAAGGTAATTTTACATTGGTTTTCTTCGACAGAACTAGACACACTTTCCACGTGTGAACACTATAACGTGAATAGTACACAGTTCAATAACTGTGGCACAACCACCACACGTACCTGACACCCTGTTGGATCATTCACACCATTTATATACGCCAATACATACATATTATCTCCGATCAATGATAGTGTCAATCAATATGCACAGCATACGCAGGCCAATTTGACAAATCTTGCTTACCTAACTGTCAAAGTCATTATTATTAATAATGGCTACCTGTTTGGGGTCCGTGAGACGATAGTCACCAATGTTTAGAGACCTTGAGTGACATGGTTCAAAATCGTTTGCAATGGCACAAGTGCATTCACTCTTTGTGTTCTCTCAAATCCTAATCTTCTGGATTCGTCAGCACCCCTACCTTTGTCTTTCTAACCTTATCTCACTGAATTATACTTCTTGAATAATATCTTCAAACCCTAGTCTTCTTCATTACCATTAATACCTCTACTATCTTTATCACTATGGGATTTGATTTGACGTTTGCGTCTGTGTGCTAATGTGGTATGGCAACCTGAACTTATGTACATACGTACGAAGTTCCACGTTGCAACTGAATGACTGACTGCCCACGAAATGATAATAATCCATGGTTAGAAACCCTGAATGACGTGTCTCTAAACCGTTTGCAATGGTGCAAGTGCATTTACTCTTTGTGTTCTCTCTAATTCTAACCTTCTGGATTCCTCATCATGTCTGTCTTTCTCTTTCTAAACTTATCTCACTGAATGATACTTCTTAAATAACATATTCCAACCCTAATCTCTCCGATTACTTCGAATACTTTTACTAACTCTACTACTATAGGGTTTGAATTTACAGTTGCATCTCTGTGCTAATGTGGTATGGCAACTTGAACTGATGTACTTACGTGCAAAGTTCTACGTTGCTGTTCATGATTATGATGATGATTATTGATGTTCTTTTGGTCAGATTATTTATTGACCGTACACTTCATTTTATTTTTAAGTTCTTATTTTTAATTCAAGAGTAGAAAAAAAGCCATAATTTAATTCCACTGATGGTTGTTAATTGCGTTGCCCGATTAGCTCAACGGTTAATATTTCAAACTATACAAAGTTGGATAACATAAGTTTTTATCTATTCCGTCGAAGAACACCAGTCCCTTCAATATTCCAAGTATACATTTCCGCGGAGTGTGCCAATTCATTGGAAATTTATGTCCTAGGTTTCCTTCTGACAAGTAATGGCTTGCAATGGCTCAGGTGTAACCACTTTTCGTGTTCTCTCAACTTCTAATCGCCTGAATTCCTCATCACCTCTGTCTTTCTCCCTTTCTAAACTTATTTCACTGGATTATTATACTTCTTGAATAATATCTTTGAACCATAATCTTCTCCATTACCACTCATACTTATACTACCTCTGCTATTACTGTGGGATTTGAATTGACAATTGTATCTCTCTGTGTGTGTTAATGTGGTATGGCAACCTGAATTGATGTACGTACGTACGAATTTCCACGTTGTAGCTAACTGACTATATATATATATATACAAGTATATGGAAATATTGGCAATATCCCAACTGTTCAACAAGAAAATCCCTACATACTTTTTTTATTCAGTAATAATTACTAATTGGAAATATAAATTTCTTTTACCAAAAAATAAACTTCTCCAAACATATCTCATTAATACATATTAAAGTACTTTTAAATTAACAAGCAATAAGGATCATTGCTTTGATCTACATATATCTATACCTATACCATCGATGGTTATACTTACTGACATAAAAAAAGAGCTTGTGATAATGTGTACTATAATGTGACCTTGAAGCATATATATATATATATATATATATATATATATATATATATATATATATATATATATATATATATATATATATATATATATATATATATATATATATATATATATATATATATATTGATTACTCATTAAACACTGTTTGCTCCATGTGACTTATTAATTTAAAGTTTAATTAATATAGAAAACCAAGAATATTCTTTGTTCAATAGATTCTCATCAAATTCTACAAGTTATAAAGTTAATAATCTCAAAAAAAATATTAAGTGGCTAACTTTGAAAGCAAAATACAGGGTATTGCAGTCAGTCAGTTGCAACGTAGAACTTCGTACGTATGTACATAAGTTCAGGTTGCCATATCACATTAGCACACAGACGCTAATGTCAAATCAAATCCCATAGTGATAAAGATAATAGAGGTATTAATGGTAATGAAGAAGACTGGAGTTTGAAGATATTATTCAAGAAGTATAATTCAGTGAGATAAGGTTAGAAAGACAAAGGTAGGGGTGCTGACGAATCCAGAAGATTAGGATTTGAGAGAACACAAAGAGTGAATGCACTTGTGCCATTGCAAACGATTTTGAACCATGTCACTCAAGGTCTCTAAACATTGGTGACTTTCGTCTCGCGGACCACAACCAGATAGCCTACATCTACCAACATGACTCAGTCCACTTGTCAATGACTTCATGAATTTCTGCCATGTTTTGGTTTGGCCGCCCCTAGATTTCTCCAAACCTACTCCTACACCACAAAACATAGCTCGTCCAGGTAGTCGGTGGTTAGGCATACGCAGCACATGTCCCAACGACCCCAACTGATAAAGTTTCACTACTTCATCTATTGGTTTGCCATCTTTACCTAGAAGTCGTTTCCTAACGATAACATTGCTTACTCGGTTGTCCCATGATACATGAGCAATGCTTTGGATACACCGATGATCGAAGACTAGTAACCAAAGAATGTCCTCTACTATTAACCGCCAAGTTTCGCAGTCACAACAATATACATATATATATAGAATTGAAAACAGAACATAATGAAAATGTTAATTACAAACAAACCTTTTTCAACTATAAGTAGTCCACCTGTTTGCCAACCATCTCCAGACATATTACCAGGTATATTAGCAGCCTTAAAAATAAAAATGAAATAAGTGTTATTGATTAGTTATCAATAATGGAAGGGTGTTTATTAATAAATGAATATATCTTTATATATATATATATATTCAGTACACGATTTCGTGTACAATTTAAATCACGAATTGACCTTAGCTATAGGACTATACCATAGGATTTCTCAGTGATGATCATGAGGTTAGGCGTTCATGCGATCACGAGATCAAAGTTCCTAAGGATGAATCCCTCTATAGCTGATTGAGTGAATGTCCACTTTTGAGAAACGGTACGCTAGGACTACTATTCAATACTCTCTAGTTTTTGGTGGTAGCTTAGCTAAAACTGATACTTCAGTTAAACTGTGAGCATATATATATATCCACTAAAACTTTTAATAAATTAAAACCTGAAAATATAATTCGGTTGTTACCATTAGTTAAGCATAAATAAACGTGTAACTTCCTTACATAAATATGAATTGATCAAAATTTACCCTAACAGGTGTTGGTTACAACACTGAATTATAATAGTTATAACTTCAAATTTTTATGAGATTTACTATGATTAGGCCATTGATAAGCGAATTAGTTTTTCTCGTGAGCGTTTTTTTATTTCAGCGCGTTAGATTTCGACGGGATGATGTCGGTGCTAAACCCCATGCCCAACCTTCCTCCTTTATCTCGGTTCGGGACAGGCAGTAACAACTAGAACGGCTCCAGGTGGATTTTTGAGTATGATAGCTAAGCAGTAACATCAAATAGTCAGAAAGATACTTAATGAGAAGAGGAATTTCTTCTCTCTACTTATATTCGTTTTCTTAATTGGACAAAATGGGAAGTTTTACTTAAAATGAGAAACCTGGTGGTAGCCATCGTTTCTCAAGAAGAAGAGGGATATTCGGATAAGAAAAGATGGCATAAATCACAAACAAGAAATGCTGCCCATTAACGATTAAGAAGGTAGGTTAAATAAATTTCAACTGTTGTGATTAATTTGTGTAGAATATTTACCTTGAGTCTTCAATATATTTATTTTTATCATTCTGTCGAATTCGACATGCAAAGACTGTGGTTGTGAAATTAACATAAGCCAACAATACGTATTTATGTGTATTCATTCATCTACCGCCTTAGAAAATGAATTCATTTCTTGGCCAATGATATGCATTCGTCTATTAGGACATATCTGATGGCCATCGAATGACCTGCTCATTTAACCACATCTGATTGGCCAACTGTATCACAATAATTAAACATTATGTACTTGATATGCTCGTCAATTGATATACTTGAAACTATTACGAGTTCACCTTACTCAGTAAACAGAGCGCAGATTAATGAAGCAGTGACACGATAGGCTATTCTAATCCGATTGTTCCAGGCCCTGCTAACAAAATCAAGAAGTCTTAATAAGGCGTAGAGAATGTATTCTACAGGCACCCAGAAAATACGAGAGTGCTAAGCACACAAATCAAGCTTATTTATACAACGATACCAACGCCCTTGGGAAAACCACAAAATAACATACTAAAATAATCCATCAGCCAATGATACTCAAGGATTTTCCAAGGGACAATTGTGAACTGAAGGTCAACTGGCGCGAAAACATGGAAATTCAAAATTTCACAATAAAATTACAAAATTAAGACCTTTTCCAGGTGGGTTCTGGGAATCTAACGTCCCCAACAGTATTATGACATAAGAGCATTACATAGAATCCAACTGACTGGTTTAAAAGAAAAAAGTTAACCAGAAATCCTTGCACACAAAAGAAAGACTATCACTGTTAACAGTTTAATTGAATCCAGACTCAATTGATCAGAAATCAATTACATTTAAAGTACAAAGTATTCACCCATCTGTCAACTCAAGCAGTCCGCTACAAAATAGAACATCGTACGTACGTACATCAGTTCAAGTTGTCATACCACATTCGCACACAGAGATGCAATTGTCGAATTAAATCCTATAGTAGTAGAGGTAGTAGAAGTATTAGCGATAATGATAAAGATTAGGGTTCGAAGATATCATTCAAGAACTTTGATCTAGTGAAATAGATTTGAGATGAGAAAGATGAAGATCATGAGGAATTCAGATTAAAATTTCAGAGAAGAGAAACACTGGATGTATCTGAGCCATGTGAATTGACACTGTCAACATGATAAAGCTATTAGTTGCCTGTGGATAAACTTGAATACTTCATTTCTACCTGAAGATTGCACTGATAATATTGTTCAGAAGAACAATTAAATCGCCATGATGCTGAAAGCATCCAGCTCAGAGAGCGAAACTCTATCGAAAATGATTATGAACAACAGTGATTACGATTTTGCTAGTTTTCTCTCGACAAAAAAAACTTGTATCAACAGGATCAGAATGCACTAAAATATTTGACCGATTCACATTAGCAGCAAAATATTGACAAGAATGAAGTTATTCATTGTTAAATAAGTCATGAACGGGAAAAAATCAATATCAACTATTAAGGTTACATACAGATAGAGGCTTAGACACAAGGTCATATGGCATAGAAATTTTCAAGGTGAGAGATCAATATGGCGAAAAAAATCAAACATCCCAACCGATAAAAAACGGGAAAGTAAGTTTAACTGCACTCTAACCTTAATCCATTAAAAAAAAACAGATTTGTAAAGCTGTAAAGCTTAGAAAGAAACAAAGATTGCTATCAATTTCAAACGGGCTGTGAAATTTGTTGAATTATTGAATTGAATTGAGAAGACCATAGACATTTTAAATCTGGAATTATCATTTTATTTTGGTAATCGGACTTCTTTGAAAGTGATATTTTTAAGAAAACACACTTATATGGTAGCTCATCTTTATATTTTTAAGGTCGATTAGTCAGTTAGTTATAGGTTGTGTGGACGTTTGCGCATACGAATATCGGTTCCAGTTATGACAAAACGTTAAAGCATAGATGAAATTATCAAGAGTACTCATCAATCAATCATTGTTAGACCACCATTAGAAACACTGGACGGCCGTTTCGTCCAAGTGTATGGTACTCATCAGCAGTGCCATTTCAGTGGTTCAGAGTCCACGCGCAAGACCGAAGGTCACGGGTTCGATTAACTGCGAGATGTTGAAGTTGTAGATGCACACTACCCCTACTGATGAGTCCCATACCAAGATGAAACGGCGTCAAGTGCTTCCAGGTTTCTTCTAATGAATGATTGATCTGATCATCGAACATCACAACGGAAAGAACGAGAGGGAGAAAGTTCTGGGTACGATTCCCTACTCCGAAATCATGGATGTACATTGCCAATGAGTCCCGCACACTAGGATGAAACAACCATCCACTGCTTTCAGGTTTTAAATGCTGGTCTAACTAACATTAAATCAGTTCATGGTTTTAATCAATAGATGATAAATTTGATTTTCGAAAACAAACATACAGATAGATAGACAGACAGACGAGTAGACTACTTTCGAAATCGATAACAGATTAAACTTTCATTTAATATTGACTACTACTACCAATTGGTCAAGTGACTGATAAAATAGATATTACTCGATAAACTAACTGATTATATGTTATCAGTTCAAAATGTCACCACAACTCAACAAGTAGTAGTATGATTGGTAGAATAATTGCATGCTTGCTCAAACTGTATTTATTCATTTATGGTTAATTTACGAAAGTCAAACAGTCTATTTTGAGAAAATAGGGGAACTAACTTGGTGAGGAAATTCTCAGAGAAGATGTGACTTGTGGAGTTCAATCCTGTCAGGTGTAGGTAGTAACTACCGAAGACAAATGGGTAAGGTTGTGTAGAAATCCCTAGATTGATCAGAGTTAGGCACTAACACTGTTAGATGCCGGACTAGTGGTCCAGAGGTTAGGCGTTCGCGCGCAAGACCGAAGGTCCGAGGTTCGATTAACTGCGAGGTGTAGGAGTCGTGGGTGTGCACTGTTGATGATTCCCATACACTAGGACGAAACGGACGTCCAGTGCTTCCAGGTTTCTAATGGTAGTCTAACAATGTCTGACTGATGATTTCATATGTGTAAAGACACAAACCTCCAAAACTCTGCCCGAAAAAATCCTTTACGGATTATCAAACGATTTATTTTGAGAAAAGACCAAAAAATCAATAACCTGTATTTTGTAGAGAGACATTAGAAATCTATCTTTTCAATTCAAATACCATAGTAGTAGAGATAGTAGAGGCATTAATGGTAATGAAGAAGACTAGGGTTTGAAGATATTATTCAAGAAGTATAATTCAATGAGATAAGGTTAGAAAAACAAAGGTAGAGGTGCTAACGAATCCAGAAGATTAGGATTTGAGAGAGCTCAACGAATGGATGCACTTGCGCCATTGCAAACGATTCTGAGCCATATAGTTCAAGGTCTCTAACCATTGGTGACGTTTGTCTCGCAGACCACAACAAGGTGGATAGTCTGCATCTATCAACATGACTCAGTCCACTTGTCAGTGACTTCATGCATTTCTGCCATGTTTTGGTTTGGCCGCCCCTAGCTTTCTTCCAACCTACTCCTACACCACAAAACTAAGCTCGTCGAGGCAGTCGGTGGTTAGGCATACGCAGCACATGTCCCAACCATCTCAACTGATCAAGTTTCATTACTTCATCTATTGATCTGCTATTCTTACCTAGCACCCGTTTCCTAATAACAGGATATACAAGTAACGTTTCGAAGACACCTGTGATCGAAAACCAGTAACCTATGAATATCTTCTACTCTCACTGGTCATGTTTCAAAGCCATAAAGTAAGACGGAGCGAACTAATGCGCAGTAAACTCGTCCTTTAGTCAGAAAACGGATTTCTCGCCTACGCGATGAGTGACGCAGGTTGGCAAAAACCAATCAAGCCTTCTGTATCCGTGCTGAGATTGCGTCAGTCACCAGACCATCAGCACTGATGAGACTCCCAAGATAAGTGAAGCGGTTAACACGTTCGACTACTTCACTCCCTATCACTAGTTCAGGTGCCGATGAAACCCAATCTTGAAGCAACATTTTGCATTTCGAGGGGGAAAACCGCATCCCGAACATGCTTGCATTGTTGTTTAGGGTGGTCAAAATGCATCAAGGTTGTCTATAATGATTTAAAATTGATCAGTTTAAAATTTCAATTAAAAAAAACAACTCAACAATCTCCATAAGCCTATATTGATAAATTATAATATTGCTCAGTAGTGACTAGTTCCCAGAGGGAATTCTCGGAGATGGAGTTAGAAACTGTAACTAGTGAAAGTTCAACCATGTTGAATGTGACGCAGCTAGTTGCCCATCAGAAGACAATGGATGATAATGATGATGGTTGTGAAATATTATGAAATGGTAGGAACTTAAACTTAACAGCTGTTGGACGCTAACTGAGTGAGTGTTCTGGAAGTTAAGGATGGTAGTAGTTATGGATGTACATCGATGTGGAGTCCCATACTAAAGAATATGACGAATAATAGTGGGAGTCTAATCAGTGCCGATGGCCTGGTGACTGACGAAATCTCAGCTCGGATACAGAAGGTTCGATTGGCTTTTGCCAACCTGCGTCACCTACGGCGTAGGCGAGATATCCGCTTGTTAACCAAAGGACGAGTGTACTGCGCAACAGTTCGCTCCGTCCTACTACATGGATGCGAAACATGGCCGTTAAGAGTAGAGGACATTCGTAGGTTACTAGTCTTCGATAATAGGTGTATCAGAAGCATTGCTCGTATATCCTGGGACGACCGAGTAAGCAATCCTATCGTTAGGAAACGAGTTCTAGGTAAGGATGGTAAATCAATAGATGAAATCAATAGTTGAGGTAGCTGGGACATGTGTTACGTATGCCTAACCACCGACTGCCGCGACGAGCTGTGTTTTGTGGTGTAGGAGTAGGTTGGAAGAAAGTTGGGGGCGGTCAAACCAAAACATGGCAGAAATGCATGAAGTCACTGACAAGTGGACTGAGTCATGTTGGTAGATATAGGCTATCTGGTTGGGGTCCGCGAGACGAAAGTCACCAATAGTTAAAGACCGTGTATAGCATGGCTCAGAATCGTTTGCAATGGCGCAGGTGCATCCAATCTCTGTGTACTCTCCAATTCTAACTTTCTGAATTCCTCATAATCTCTATCTTTCTCCTTCTAAATTTATCTTACTGAATTATACTTCTTGAATCATATCTTCGCTCTCTAATCTTCTTCATTACTGCTAATACTTCTACTATCGCTATCACTCTTGGATTTGAACTGACAGTTACGTCTCTATGCTGATGTGTGTGGTATGGCAACGTGAACGTGAACGTATGAAGTTCTGTGTTGTATCTGTCTGTCTGGTCTTACATTTACATTTGAAGTTAGATTACTACTTCTTTTAAAGTGTTAAGGCTACTGAAATGATACTACAAACATTAAAACAAAAAAAAACAATTATCAATTATTGATTGAGTCACATGAAAAGATCTGGAGAGTTTTTTACGGTAGGGTTCCTTGGTAAGAAAAAACAACCAACTAAAAACAAGATATGACCTTAATAAATTGATCATAAAAGTACAAATGATGATTATGAGTTTGTATCCCTTAAAATTGAATAAAACTTTCTACTTACTTACTTATTTGGTTATTCTCGGTCATTACTTATATAAACATTGAAATCTTCAATGAATCACTGTTAGACCACCACTAGAAGAAACCTGGATGGCCGTTTTGTCCCAGTGTATGGGACTCACTAATGGCAGTGTCTATCCACGACTCCTGCAACTAGCAAGATTCAAAGCCAGGGATTTCAATCTAGAGCAGGCGAACGCCTAACATCTAGACCACTTGGTTGGCATCCAAATGGTATTAATATATAACTCTGGACACTAGTGACCAGCTTCGTATGGAGATCCTTGGAGTTCCAGTGAGAAGACCTGACCAGTGAAGTTGGGTGTAGGCAATAACTACCGAAGACAAATGGGTGAGGTTGTGCAAACTCTCTAGATTGGTTGAAGTTAGACATTAACACCGTTAGATACCGACCGGCTCAATGGTCCAGAGGAAGTTAAGCGTTCGCCGACGCAATACTGAAGATCCTAGGTTCGATGAACTGTGAGTAGACGGAGATGTGGATGCATACTGCCACTGATAAGTCCCAGACACAAGGACAAAACGGCCGTCCACCAGTGTTTTTAGATTTCTTCTAATTACAGTCATCTAACAATGAATTTATTCATCATTTCAATGTGTATCTCAAATTATGTCCAGAAAAAACATAGTAAACAATCTCATCACTATTCTATCTTTATAGATATTTGTGAATACTTAAATATATTTATTACCTTAGCTCTTGCATTTAAAGTACGACCAGCTTTTGTTAGTAAAGAACTGAAACCAGAACAAGCGGAGACTTTTTTATATTCTAATGCTTTATAGGTTTTACGTTCAGGATCTAAATAAAGATCTACAATAAATAAAAAGAAATAATTTGATTAGAAATAGCGCTAGTAAGAAAATCAATATTTTTCTCCTTTAGATTATTATGGGTGTAACGATTGATAATTAGCATGAAATTGCTCTGAACAACAGAGCTAATTCAGCTGTATATGACTGTTAAGAATACTAATAAGGAAAGTGTATATATATATATATATATATATATATATATATATATATATATATATGTTACGTATGCTCAACCACTGACTGCCTCGACGAACTATGTTTTGTGGTGTAAGAGTGCTACGCATGCACGTAAACATGTCAACTTGATGTGCTTGAACTATTACGAGTTTACCTTAGCCAGAAAACGAGAGCGAGGATCGAGGATCCGGCGACAGGACATGTTACTCTAATCCGAGTGTCCCAACCCCCTATTGAATAAAAGAAGAAGACTTGATATGAAGTAGAACCTGTATTCAATAAGCATCCAGAAAGTACGAGGTCCGAGTCCAGAAGAGGATAAGGATCCCTGACTAATGATCTGGGTCCGGGTCCGGGTCATGAAACGTTACAGATAATGCGTATTTATACATTTAAGTCGAATGAGAAGCAAAATGGAAGTGTGTGACATTGACAGTCGGGCCGACCATAATATTGACCAATAGGAATCGACCAATAGAATTAGACTTCCAAAAATAATTCTCTCAAGGTATTTGATGAATATCCTAACAGGGAGTAGGTTGGAAGAAAGATACGGGCGGCTAAACCAAAACATGGCACAAGTCTATGACAAGAGGAATGAGTCATGTTGGTAGATGTAGACTACGTGGTTGGGGTCCGCGAGACGAAAGTCTCTGATTGTTAGAGACCTTGAATGACATGTCTCAAAATCGTTTGCAATGGCGCAGGTGTATCCACTCTTTGTGTTCTCTGAAATTCTAATATTCTGAATTCCTCATCAACTCTATTTTTCTCTTTCTAAATTGATCTCTTTGGATTATACTTCTTGAATAATATCTACATACCCTAGTCTACTTCATAACCGCTAATACTTCTGCTACATATACCACCACTATAGGATTTGAATTGACAATTGCATCGCTGTGTTCTAATGTGATGTAGCAACATGAACTGATGTACGTACGTACTTACAAAGTTCTACGTTGTAACTTCTCGACTGATACGATAATTTGAGTTTTAGGTAACTTTGTCATAGACATGTTTTTGAAGATAACACTTTACGTGGTTGATCAGCAGCCAGAAGATTCACTTGTTCACTTGTAATACGCAGCTGATATAGTTCTGTATCGTAAAGACATTGAAAAAAATGTTGAGTCTTCTGAACACCTTAGGCAACAATGCAACCATGTTTAGGATGCGATTCTCTCCTTTCAAATGCAAAATGTTTATTCACGATTGGTTTACATCAGCTCCTGAACAGATGATAAGGAGTGAAGTAGTTGAGCGTGTCAACTAGTTCACTTATCTTCTGAGTCTTATCGACCCTGATGATCTTGTGCCTGACGAAATCTCAGCAAAGATGCGCAGGTAGTTCGATTAGTTTTTGTCAACTTGTGTCACTTATGGTGTATGCGAGATATCCGTCTGGTAATCACAGAACGAGTTTACTGTACAGCAGCAGTTCACTCCGTTATACTTTATGGGTATGAAGCATACTTAGGGCATCGGCCTCGTGAGTTCTGAATAAATACGGCTTTCACCGTGCGGTATCATAACTTTTCTAAATGAAATATGTCAGAAATACGATTACACATACGGTCTCTTTCTCTCTAAGGTTCGGTTATTAAAGGTAAATGGTGATACGAACTACTGGAACTAGGTTTCATTCTAGTTAAGTCTTGTGAGCAATAAGTACTTGCAATTTTGAAAGGACTTATGTACTTGTAGGGTCTAGACGTCTCAGATCGTGACTCGGCTTTAAATTCCGTAGGACTACAAATAAGTCTTACTGATGAGTGTCCACTAGCATGAAACCTATTTTGAACAAGATGTCCTGCCAAATATCTTCAAAATTTTAATATTAAAACATGGATTTGATTGGAACTAGTTTGGTCTCGTGTGTTGTTACGAGTATGAGAACGGATGTCACTTCCTGTTTGCCTACATCGTGAAAAGGTGTTTCCTGTGGAACCTTAAAAGGAATTCGGTCCAGAGACGGTCTGAGAGATCTGGGGGCGTGACCACAGAGCCCAAGGAACAAGTCCTCGAAGCAGGTCATGCATGACCTTATTATAGAAAGTTTTTGAAGTGTTAGCACCGCTCTCTAAATGGCCTTTTCTCCGGAGATGGACGTCCGTGGGGTAAGGTGAGGTGTGACATTTTTAGGATTCACCCTTTCCAACCCGTTTCTTCCTTGTAAGAAGGCATCATCGCTGTAGATGCTGGTTGTCCGAGGGAAACACCTTACTACTGTCACACCTCTCTACAACCAGCAGTACGACTTCGCCCTCTGACCCTAAGTTGCTGTTTTTAGTCTAACCGCTCTCCAATCAACCTGCCTGGCATGGTAGAACCTACAAGAACATATATTCCAGCCAATATAGCTCGGTTGAGTCATCACAATGGAGAAGCCCAACCACCACATTAAGGTAGCAGCAGCTACAGTCGGGAATATCAAAACATAGTATCAGCCAATCGGATGAAAACTGCTCATCAATCGAAACTATAAGAATATAACATAAGTCACAAATCAATGATCAATCAATCCCATTACATCTACTTTGTTTTAGTTAAGTGACTACTGTAAATTAACAATGATTGAAAACATACGCTGGATTGTGTGCGCTATCGTTTGTAACGAACTCGATTATTTTTGTCATCAATAAATTTCGGAAATTAATAACAGATTACATAATAAATATATATATATATATCAATAAAATGTAATATTTGTTCAATTTACCTCCATCAAAATAATGTCCATCGAAAAATTCTTTTACACCACTTTCATCGAATGTAATACCCATTAATTTAATATTACGTGCATCTAATGCAGGTTTTAAATAACTTAAATTTTTCGCTTCTAAACGACAAAATTTACAACCCAAACGACGAAAAAATGTAATAATACATGTTTGATCCTAGATGAATGTTTTTTTTTCAACAGAAAGACAAAAAAAAGTGTTATTTATCTGATTTGAATAAGAAAAGAATTATATACATGGATAATGAAGCACTCTCAATATAAAAAGAATTGAACAAGAGCAAAAAATGGTTTACACATATGAATTTTGAACGATGTGTTACAGATTCTAGTTAGTTTTTGGCAATCACTTAGTATCATTATCAGATCTCATTTAAGAAGGTTAGATTGAAGCAGAATACATATCCCTTGGATTGGTTATTTATGAAAAATGACCTCAAGATTCAGTGATTAGAGTATAATCGGGAGACATTCAGTCAGTCAGTTGCAACGTAGAACTTCGTACGTATCTACATAAGTTCATGTTGCCATATCACATTAGCATAGAGACGCAACTGTCAAATCAAATCCCATAGTGATAAAGATAGTAGAGATATTATTGGTAATGAAGAAGACTAGGATTTGAAGATATTATTCAAGAAGTATGATTCAGTGAGATAAGGTTAGAAAGACAAAGGTAGGGGTGCTGACGAATCCAGAAGATTAGGATTTGAGAGAGTTCAAAGAATGGTGGATGCACTTGAGCCATGTCATCCGAAGTCTCTAACCATCAGTGACTTTCATTTCGCGGACCCCAACCACGTAGTCGACAACTACCGACATGACTCAGTCCACTTGTCAGTGACTTCATGGATTTGTACCATGTTTTGGTTTGCCCGCCCCTAGCTTTCTTCCAACCTACTCCTACACCACAAAACATAGCTCGTCGGGAGACATTGAGTTTCCATTTATTAGCAAAGCGACAATAGGCAAAAAATTGTAAAATCCGTATAACCCAGTACAAACGTGAATTAGGATAAGTCATCTTACTTTAGATGAACTCAGTAAGAAGAAATCAAATAAGAGTGGAATCAAAGAAGTCCGTCAGTCAGTTACAACGTAAAACTTCGTACGTATGTACCATACCACATTAGAACGCAGACGCAATTGTCAATTCAAATCCCACAGTAGTAGAAGTAGTAGAAGTATTAGTGGTAATCGGAAAGATTAGGGTTCGAGGATAATATTTATGAAGTACAACCTAGTGTAATAAATTTGAGACACAAAGAATGGATGCATCGGCACCATTGCAAACCATTTTGTGCCATATCATTCAAGGTCTCTAACTATCGGTTACTATCACCTCCCGAACCTCAACCAGGTAGTCTATATCTTCTAACATGGCTCAGTTTACCTGTTAGTGACTTAATGCATTTATGTCATGTTTTGATCTGGTCGCCCTAGCTTTCTTCCAGCATACTCCTACTACAGGCGTTATCATTTGTCGAGACGAAAATAATAGTATAAAACCAAGCAAATATAAGGAAGATTGAAATAGACGAATCTGAAAAGTGCCATGTTCCAGAGTTAAAGAAAACTCAAATATCCGAGCCATTTCAGTCGACATTGACAAATTCTATCTACAGTCTTTGACCATTATAGAAACACATACAGTAAGTTAAACATGATTTAACGTTGAACAGATTACACGTACTAATTTGTATCATAGTCAGCTAACATTAATTCATTGTGTAGTGATCAGTCCTATTACAATCAATCAAAGTCTTAGGTTCGATTACCCCACTTGTGAAGTCATGAATGCACACTATTGATGAGTTCCATACTAAGACGAAACGACCGTTCAGTACTTCTAAGTTGCCCATATGGTAGCCTAATAACATGGATTGATTGATTTCAATTAACGAATCATCTCGATTTCAATGAGTTCAAAAGCGACGGAAATCTCTGATCAAATAGAAGAGAGATAGTGGTAATGCTAAATGAAATATGGATAGATTTTCAATGTTAAGAATATGCTTTACAAAAGTATAAAGTTAATTCTAGTTAACTAGAATCAAATATTCAGTAAAACAACTGGCTATCCATACTTTGAGGTTAACATGGCTGCATAGAATAATTCTGTTTCTTATGTCAGCAGTTCGCTCTGTCCTACTATACGGATGCGAAACATGGCCGTTAAGAGTAGAGGACATTCACAGGTTACTAGTCTTCGATCATAGGTGTATCCTAAGCATTGCTGGGAAGACCGAGTAAGCAATGCTGTCTTTAGGAAACGAGTTCTAGGTAAAGATGACAAATCAATAAATGAAGTGTTGAAACTTCATCCGTCGAGGTGGTTGGGATATGTGTTACGTACGCCTAACCACCGACTGTCACGATGAGCTATGCTTTGCGATGTAGGGATAGCTTAGACGAAAGCTAAGGGCCACCAGACCAAAACATGGCAGAAGTGCACGAAGTCACTGACAAGTGATCTGATTCATGAGGCCGATGCCCCTAATGACAACCAGAACCCTTCCATGCTGTGGGCAGCCGGGAAATGATATTTTCTCTCATACCCCTAAAAGCAAACGCGACCAAATTCAGTCAGTCAGTCAGATGCAACGTAGAACTTCTTACATAAGTACATCAGTTCATGTTGCCATACCACATATTCAAGAAGTATGATTCAGTGAGAAAAGTTTAAAAAGTAAAAACTACAGGTGTTGAAGAATCCAGAAGATTAGGATTTGAGAGAACACAAAGAATAAATGAATTGGCGCCATTGCAAAAGGTTTTGAGCCATATTATTCAGGGTATCTAACCATCGATTGTTATCATCTCGCTGACCCCAACCAGGTAGTCGACAACTACCGACATGGCTCGGTCCACTCGTCAATGACTTCATGGACTTGTGCCATGTTTCGGTTTGACGCCCCTAACTTTCTTCCAACCTATTCCTACACTACAAAACAAAGCTCTTCGAGGCAGTCGGTGGTTAGGCATACGCAACACATGTCCCAACCACCTCAACTGAAGAAGTTTCACCACTTCATCGATTGATCTGCCATCCTTACCTAGTACTCGTTTCCTAACGACAGCATTGCTTACTCGGTTGTCCCACGGTATACGAGCAATGCTTCGACGACACCTATGATCGAAAATCAGTAACCTACGAATATCTTCTACTCTCATTGGCCATGTTTAACATCCATATAGGAGAACGGAGCGAACTGCTGCACAGTACACTCGTCCTTTAGTCAGCAAACGGATATCACGCCTACGCCATAAGTGACACAGGTTGGCAAAAGCCAATCGAGCCTTCTGTATCCGAGCTGAGATTTCGTCAGTCACCAGGCCATCAGCACTGATGAGACTCCCCAGATAAGTGCACCGGTCTACACGTTCGACTACTTTACTCCCTATCACTAGTTCAGGTGCCGATGCAACCCAGTCTTGAAGCAACATTTTGCATTTCGAGGGTGAGAACCGCATTCCGAACATGCTTGCATTGTTGCTTAGGATAGTCAGAAGACTCTGCATTTTGTCAGCGTCTTCACCAAGTAGGACTATGTCATCGCGAGTCACCTGGTAGAAGGTCTACTTCAGAAAATTCAGACGAGGATAAGGATATTTCTAGGAGCATGTCTATGATAAAATTAAACAAGAATGGAGAAAGTGGACATCCCTGACGGACACCACTTGACCTAAGGAATTCCGGTGACAGTTAGCCATAAGCTCTCACTCGAACAGTGGTGTTCGAGTAGAGAGCTTGTATGAGGTTAATGTACTTTTCTGGTACATCTTTCAATGACAGACACTGCCACAGAACCTCACGATACTCTGAGTCAAATGCCGTCTTCAGGTCCAGGAAAACAACTATTGTAGGACGCCTAAACGTGTGTCTGTGTTCCAGGACCTGTCGTAGTGTGAAGATGTGGTCTATACAACCACGTCCAGGTCGAAAACCAGACTGGTTTTCTCGAGTCTGCTCTTCACGAGCTTTCGTTAAGCGCCGAAGCATTATTGAGGCCAATATTTTAGATACTATATTAGTTAGACTTATTCCCCTGTGATTGTCACAAGAAAACTTTTGTCCTTTCTTATAGATTGGGATAATCAGTAATTGAGACCAGTCGGATAGGATTACGTCCAGTTAGCAGATTCTACCTAAGATATCAGTCAACCTAGCTGCTAAAACTGGACCACCATCCTTAAATATCTCAGGGGTCAGTCCATCAGGACCTGCAGCTCGTCCTCGCTTAAGATTTACTAACGCTTTCTCAACTTCATTAAGACGGGGGACTTAGGTCGATTTGCCATTTAGGATGACTGGAGATCGTGGGTAACCGAAGAGTGGCTCGAGGCCAGTTGAACTGATCCCTAAAGTGTTCTACCCATCGATCCAGTCTCCTGGATTGAGAATAAATAATAGTCCCATCCACCAAATCGGTCACAATCAAATCATTTATACACGTCCTAATATCTCTCTTATCCCCTCGACTAACTCTTCCTTCAATCGTTTGTCCCCTCGAGTCACAAAAGCAAGCGGTTTGAGCTGACAAAAAAATTTTCCCGGTCTCCTGACACCACGTACTAAATTATATATTGGGGCTTTTAATATTAGAACCTTGTGCCAAATAAGGCAACAGACTTCATCATCTAGAACTCTAGAATCCCGGGCGGTCAACGTATTCTGCTTCTCCGAAACACGCATACAAGATCCGAGTAAAATCATCAATTTGATCTCACCCAGTGCAGATACAGAGGCAACAAGGTTTAAGCTTCGTGTTTGTGGTAGCCCTGATGCTGCTTCACATGGCCTCGATGATATAGGTATAGCATAAAGTCCTACAGCAGAACTAGCTCTCCTAGACTGGATCCCAGTAGATAGTCGCCTATGAGCTGTCCGACTTAACGGGTCAGTACAGACTCGGAAAGATAAGGACACTGGCCGTTGCCCCATCGTCGTATTTATCTACGCTCTCGCTGACTGCAGTTCAGACGAGGTGAAAAATGAATTTTACAGAAACCTCTCCAAACTTCTCCAAAATGTTAAGCGAACTGATGTAGTAATAATGACTGGCGATTTTAATGCTCATGTAGGTAGACTCAGTGAAAAGGAAAGATACCTAGGTGGATCTTACAGTGTTGTGGCTTAGATAACATATAATAGCG